TATAGACCACCCAACCAGGATGAAGAGGCAGCAGAAATGTTCTATAAGCAGCTGGGAGAAGTCTCACAATCACTAGCCTTTGTTCTTGTGGGGGCTTTCAGCTTCCCAGACATCTGCTGCAAATGCAATACAGCAATGAAACAGACCAGGAGGTTCCTAGAGTGTGTCATAGATAACTTCCTGACACAGTTGGAGAGGGAGCCAACTAGGGAAGGCACCTCACTGGACCTGCTGTGTGTGAACAGAGAAAGACTTGTGGGTGATGTGACAGAGGCTGTCTTGGGAACAGGGGACATGAAACAACAGCTTTCAATCCTTGGAAAAATATCCTTATTCAAGAAGGATATCCTAAAGGCCCAGGAGCAGGCCACCCCCACAGACATCCCTGAAAGACAAGCTGGTGGGAAGACAACCAGTGTAGCCGAACAGAGAGCTTTGGCTGGAACTCAGGGCAAAAAGAGTTTATGATCTCTGGAAGATGGAAGAAGGGGCAGGCCACTCAGAAGGACTACAAGGATGTCATGAGGTTATGCAGGGAGAAAATTAGAAGGGCCAAAGCCCACCTAGAACTTCATCTGGCTACTGCTGTACAAGACAATAAAAAATGTTGCTATAAATACATGAGCAACAAAAGGAGGGCTAAGGAGAATCTCCATCCTTTATTGGATGTGGGGGAAACATAGTGACAAACGATGAGGAAAAGGCTGAGATACTTAATGCCTTCTTTGCCTCAGTCTTTAATAGTAAGACCAGTTGTTTTCCAGGTACCCAGCCCCCTGAGCTGGAAGACAGGGAGCAGAATGAAGCCCCCATAAACCAAGGAGAAATGGTGAGCGACCTGCTACACCACTTAGACAGAAACAAGTCCATGGGGTTGGATGGCATTCATCCCAGGGTACTGAGAGAGCTGGTGGGAGTACTCACCAAGCCACTTTCTATCACTCACCAGCAGTCCTGGCTAATCAGGAGTTGACTGGAAGTTAGCAAATATGACACCCACCTACAAGAAGGGCTGGAAGGAGGATCCAGGGAACTACAGGCCTGTCAGTCCAACCTCAGTGCTGGGGAAGGTTATGGAGCAGATCATCTTGAACACCATCACACAGCATGTACAGGGCAACCAAGTGATCAGGCCCAGTCAACATGGGTTTATGAAAGACAGATCCTGATTGACTAACCTGATCTCCTTCTACGATAAGGTGACCTGCTTAGAGCATAAGGGAAAGGCTGTGGATGTTGTCTACCTGGACTTTAGTAAAGCCTTTGACACCATTTCCCGCTGCATTCTCCTGGAGAAAATGGCTGCTCATGGCTTGGACAGGCCTGTGTTTCACTGGGTAAAGAACCGGCTGGATGTCCGGGCCCAAAGAGTTGTAGTGAATGGAGTTAAATCCAGTTGGCAGCCGGTCACAAGTGGTGTTCCCCAGAGCTCAGTATTGGAGCCAATTCTGTTTAATATCTTTATCAATGATCTGGACAAGGGGATCGAGTGCACCCTCAGTAAGTTTGCAGATGTCATCAAGCTGGGCAGGACTGTTGATCTGCTTGAGGGCAGCAAGGCTCTACAGAGGGATCTGGACAGGCTGGATCAATGGGCCAAGGCCAACTGTATGAGGTTCAACACGGTGTCAGGTTCTGCACATGGGTCGCAACAACCCCATGCAATGCTATAGGCTTGGGGAAGAGTAGCTGGAAAGCTGCCTGGCAGAAAAAGACCTGAAGGTATTGGTGAATAGCAGCTGAACATGAGCTAGCAGTGTGCCCAGGTGGCCCAGAAGGCCAATAGCATCCTGGCTTGTATCAGAAGCAGTGTAGCCAGCAGGACTATGGCAGTGATTGTCCCCCTGTACACAGCACTGGTGAGGCTGCACCTCGAACAGTGTTCAGTTTTGGGCCCCTCACTACAAGACAGACATGGAAGTGCTGGAGTGTGTCCAAACAAGGGCAACAAAGCTGGTGAAGGGTCTGGAGCACAAGTCTTATGAGGAAGAAGAACGCTTCCCAGCTGAAAAAACTTGGGTTGTTTAGTCTGGAGAAAAGGAGGGTCAGGGGAAACCCTGTCACTCTCTACAACTACCTGAAAGGCAGTTGTAGTGAGGTGGGTGTCAGTCTCTTCTCTCAAGTAAGAAGGAATAGGACAAGAGGAAACGCCCTCAAGTTGCTCCAGCGGAGGTTTCAATTGGATATTAGGAAAATTTCTTCACTGAAAGGGTTATCAAGCATTGGAACAGGCTACCCAGCAAAATGGCTGAGACACCATCCCTGGAGGTATTTAGAAGATACATAGATGTGGTGCTTAGGGACATATAGTTCAGTGGTGGACTTGGCAGCATTAGGTTAATGGCTGGACCCAATTTTCAAGGTATCTTCCAACCTAAACAATTCTATGATTCTATTTGGATGCTGAGTTTCTTCAAAAGTTATGAAACTAAACACTTGTGGCTGGGCAGACTTCCACACAGCTATCAGGAGTCTTATACAATTTATTTTCCAAATGATCGAATTCAGTAGGAAAAGAGAACAGCAGCTCTGGAGAAAAATGTGTGGTCAGACTGGAATGATGGGTAAAAGACAGTGTTGTCATCTTCATCTCAAGAACTTATTTAAAAGCCTTTGATTCTCATCAAATGCAAAGCCAGCATGCCAGCTCCAGCATCACTGCAGCAGTTTTACTGTAGAGCAAAGTCTAGGGAAAGCCAAGGACAGGAATTCATGTCTACATTTAGCATCTGCTCTACCACACTTCCATCAACAAAGTGAGGAGCCGATTTCCACTGCAGTGCCCCAGACTCCAAAGTCACTGCAAAGGTACTTAAATATACCAAGGCAACTGTCTACCGGAGGTGAGGCTCTCTGCGCTCTTCGTTCCTGACCAGCACATTAGATCAGCTCCATCACTGCTGACACCTTAAGGGCTGGGCAGTCTGCTCCGACTCAAACCCTGCTACCGTAGGTAAACAAGGCAGAGTAACAGGAAGGGATCCCAGCACACGGGATCCATCAGGACCAAAATGACAAAAAAGGTTCAGCCACATGGGACTGAAGACATCCTCGGCATGAGATGTGAGCTGCGCTGGACTGGATATAGGCTGACCCTCTCCAGTACTGACACAGATCTGCTTCTCTCTCAGGGTGAGGTTGTTCTATCATGTCATTTCATGCAAGTTGACTGCATGACAAGTAGGAATTTCAAGCCCACCTTCTGCTTTCTTATATCCTCCACCCCATTCTGGGGAGCTTGTCAGCTGCCATGCTGCTTTGTTTACAGTCCTGTTGTCTTTACAGGGACGTAGAGAGACTCCCTGTCAGCAGAGGAGAGAAGCCAGCAGGGCTCCCAACCACAACATCTTGTTATATACCTTGCTGAAAAGGGTTTTTTTGTTGTTGTTCCAGCTGCTATCCACATTGTAGCCTCTCAGAGCCATCTTTAGAGGTACACATAGATTTGTCCTAGCACATTTTTGCTCTCCACAATACAAAATGAAAGGTTGGATTTTTTAACTTTCTAGTCTGAACTAGAACTTAGAGAGGTTGTTTCATACTCACTTGTACTTGGCACAGATGGATTGGATAACGTTTACCTCAAGCTCTGAAGATCAGATTCCCAGCCCTTCATGACTTCACACAGCAAAGGTGCACCATTTCTCTTGAGCCTTTTTAACCTTGAAGTAGCATGCTCCAGGAGGAACATCAGTTGTTATAATTTGCTGACTGCTACAATGCCAAGCCTCCTGCCACATCAGCTCTAGTTCAGCACTTTGCAGAGCATGTGTGCATGTGACAATCCTATTCCAAGGATCAAGAATCCAGTTAATCTCCCTTGCTAGATCTCTGCTTTGACAAAGGCCTTTCTCAAATTCATTTCATGAAGCCAAGTTACATGAAAGCTGAGTCAATCAGAGAGCCCCTTCCAAATCACTGCACTCTCAGGTGTGCTGAGATCACCAGCTGGGTTTATCAATAAATAACTGAGATTTCAAGTTGGGGAATCAACATCTAATAAACCACTCTGAAAGCAAGCATAACTCCCACATTGTATGCTAAAAATCTGGAGGCAATTATTTTAACTTTAATCTGATTCATTATCCAAACAAGAAGTTAGAACAAGTACCACCTTACTTCAAGGTTTTTCCACTACATCACTCGCTACTCCTGCTACACACATCAGTGAGCTGCTACTTGATACGAGTTTTATCAGTTCTTTATTGGCAGTGTCTTGTAATGAGAATGAAATTCAGCTGGTGTTTAAAAAAAATGACAGGTTATCCTTGAAAGCCTCTGGTACTTAGTGATTCTTCGGGGGTTTTTTGGGCAGAAAGAAAACTACCTGGGTAACTGCTCAAGATACCACACTGCAGGACAGGAGACAGACAAATACTGGAAGACAAACAGTAGAAAAGATTATGCGCAAAGTTACTCCTACTGGGCATGAATACTCAAAAATGTTCTTTTCCACGAGTGGTATCTTGGAAGAGATAAAGAAACCTAAGTGTAGGATAACATGGATTGGGAAAGCTAGAAAATTTGAGATATGCTTTAAGAGCATGAAACCCTGTGAACAGGACAGAAGTCTCCACATCATTAGCCCAGTATCAGGACACATAGCACTCCACTATCTTCAGACAGCTTAGTAAGTCCAGTTCCCACTCAATTCAAGACCTAAAGCCCCCAAAGTCTTAAATTCCCTTCCAAATCTTTTCCAATTAAGGCCTGTGTTGAGGAATAACAATAAGACTTCAAGGTCAGCACTGTACATGAGATTGACAGTTACCTGACATTTTGGGTAGGGTTCCACCTCTCAGATGGCAGCTCTCCACTTTGTGGGTCATCTACAGGTGGGTGAAGAATTGAAATACATACATCTCCATTCTGCAAGACAGAAACAAGAGTTGAGAACAGCCTGGCTTGAGGTAAAAGTCTGACGACTCAACTCCACCACTTTGGCTATCTTCTCAGCACTTTAACCTTACTGATATGGACACTCCAAGTGCCAGTAAAATTATGTGCAAGAACTGGAAACATTTCTCAATTCTTCTCAAGTCTACTATAGGTATATGTGCAAAAGTTTCCCTTGCTAAACAGAGTTAGTCTGCAAACTGGTACGAAACAATCTTGAGTCAAGAGGTTTAAGAGCATAGCAAAGCAAGCCAAAATAGTATTAAAGTCACATAAAACTAAACTGGTGTCCAGATAGCAAGCACTGTCACAGTGACAGAAATGAGCTTTAGACACAGGAGACCCAAAGCAGGGTTAAAAAAAAAATTTGTTCCCAGTGGTACCTGAGTTAGCTACAGAATTTTTGAATTGAAGGGTTTAGCACTCTACTACCTCAGGTATCAAAACAATGCTTCTCCTGGGACACGAGGAGGTTGAACAGATGGTGCAGGGCAGGCTTACACTCCTCCTCTAGGACACAGCTGTTTGAAATATCAGGTGAAAAAGCAGGAGATGCTCTCTGAAGGCTTCCCTGAAAATCCCTTCCGGCATGCAAGAGAAAGACTATTTTGGCAGCATATGGAAGCCATACAGCCACATAATCCTCAATCTGTGTTTTACTCACCAGTGTTACATTTCAAATATAGATTTAAAGCTCCATAATGCCTACCATTTATAAACACTTAAGAAGCCTGTAAAACCAGTTCTCCATCAGCAACAGCACTCTGACACCATTATGCTGTAGGAGGGCTGTAGCAGCAGTATTCACCATGGCTGATATTCACCACTCAAGCTGACTCCAGCAACTCTTGGGGTTCCACCCAGTGCCTTACTGCAGGATGGGGTGAAGGTGCAGACATGGCTTGAGGCCAGTCAGATGTTGGCCTCTCCAGGCCCTGCTGGCTTGCTGCCTCTTGCAGCTGGCTGCTAGGATGGCTTTTGAGTTCCCAGAGGCAGCCCCACACCTTCAGGCAGCATGGCCTCAGCTGATGGGCAGCACTCACACTGTCCCTCTGACCCAAGGCACAGGTTGATGATGGCAACAAGAGAGAAGCTGCAGATCAGTTCTGTTTGAGACAGAGGGCTGGCAGCCTCCCTCACACCCGGTCTCAGCTACATCCTGAGGACCCTCCAACACCGCCTGACACACAGGAGCCAGAGCACAAAGCAGTGCTGCTCACAGCAATGGCATCATGCCTTTGAGCCTGAGCCAGTGATCACAGCTACAGACAGCAGCTGCTCACCTGAAGGGCCTCCCAAACATTTCAGCTCACCTTGATTAACAATGACATTTGTTTTACAGCCAGATGAGATCCTACTTCAACACTGGAGGCTTGTGATCAGTATCCAGATGTTTTACAGCCAGATGAGATCCTACTTCAACACTGGAGGCTTATGATCAGTATCCAGATTTCAGCAGCTCACTAACCCTGCCAGGTATGCTAATCTAGCAAGCCCTCGTCATTTTCAAGCAGGTTTTTGTCAAGAACACAGCTATGCACAGCAATGCGGCACCTGGAGCTGCCGAAAACCAAAGCATGCACTTATGCTGCTGGAACAGTTTGCCGTAACAAGGGCAGTTTCCTTTTTAGGACTCCGACAAGCTTGTGCCATCTAGAAATATTTTTTTAATATAATTTTAAGGTGAAGTTAGATTATATTGACAGCCTATTCTGGTTTTATTAATAATTTCCATGAGTTACCCAGTTTTTCCTTTAACACCTCCTGGGAGAATGCAGTGCTGTTGGCCAGGAGAAAGCACCACAACACTTGAGGGAAGTTCCTCAAACGATCAGGTCAGCGGCATGTGGACAAGCAGATATTTGGCAATATGAAAATACAGAGGGAAGCAAGGATGTGAGAAGGAAACTCACTGTTACATGTTTGGAAATTCAAGCAAGGCAGCACTGCATTACAGACTCTGGAAGGGTAAAGGTGT